TTTAGAGGAAGCACTGGGGATTGAACCCAGGACCTCCTGCATGCTAAGCATGTATTTTACCACTTGAGCTATACCCTCTCCCACATACGTGGTAGGTTTAATAAGAAAGGGAATTTACTTAGGTGTTTTGTGTTTTGTGGCTAGAAGACAAATTTTAAAAGTTTACACAAAGGCCTTAACTGGGCTAAGTCAGTACTCAGTGCACATAGTCTCAATACTACATTACTGTCTCAAGGTTGTGACCCTACACAGCTGCCAGCAGGGGATAGGCAAGGGGAGGGCACATCCCAAGCATGGGTGTTGGGAGAGCAGCCTTGAGACTCCTGGGTCCAGCTCAGGGCTCAAGCTTGCAGTCATGCTTGATGACCACCCCCCCAACAAATCTCCATTGCCAGACCCTCAGCATCCTCTGGCACCCCTGTTCTCATTCAGCACACCTCTGTACCCTTATTGCCTTGTCTAGAGAGTTCCTTCTGGCTGAGTTCTGTCTATACCTGTGGACACTGTTCTCCCCACAGACTTCTCACATGGTCTTCAGTGGTGATTTGTTTCTCCCATACTTTGCATAGATGCCAGCAAACTTAGGTTGCCTCCTTGCTTCCTGTGACAGCTTCCAGATACTTTCTCCTTCTTCTCCCATTAAAAAGAGAAACTCCTTCAATTCATGTGTATTCAGACTACATTATACTTTGTTGAAGTCATCTACCCACTTCTGGGTCAACACAGCCTTCATTTGTTAGATATTCTAGCTCCTAGTTCACTGTGCTCTTAGAGACTCTAACAACGAATAGACAGTCATCTAACATTCTGGTCTCTCAGCTCCCTCAGCTCCTCATCCTCATCTTCCACTCTCCTGCATCACGTAGCTTTTGTCATCACCAACATGAGGCTGAAAAAACATAGCTGCATTATCCTTTCAAATTAGTGTTCCTCTGTTCTTTGGGTAAATTCCCAGGAGTGGAATAGCTGGGTCATATGGTAGTTCTATTTTCATTTTTTAGAAGAATCTCCATAGTGTTTTCCATAATGGCAGCACCAATCTACTTTCTCTAAAATTTTGAATGTCAATAAAACTCCTCAGGGACTAAAGAAAGCCATACGCAGCTTTGCAACTCAGAGAGATCTTCAAGTGTCTGGGATCCATCCCTTTTGAAGTCTGAACACCAGAAAGTTGGAGCTCCAGGCTCCCTGACATCTTGGGAGCTTAACCTCAGTTGAATCCTGGCTGTAACCATGTCTTCTCAGGGAAATGAGAGAAGTTAGATTGTTCTTTCAGATGAGGGCAATTAACCAAATAATGATTACTCAGGTCCCAAGTTAGCAAAGGGTGAACTCCATGAAGGAACATGCAGAAAGCTCAGCATGTAACAGCAAACTGTGCTGTCTAGTCCTCTTCTGGGAACAAGGGAGAGCATTGAGCCTAAGGAAACATGTTATATACTGGCTGGAAACTGCAACAGAAAAGGACTCATCTACTTCGATGTATAAGAAACATGGTTTCATCCTTTCTCCTCGCTTTCAGCCTACCTATATGCTTGTGCTAGGTTCTGCGTCTTCAGTAATATAATACATTTCTTTCTCTTTTAGGTTAGGAAAATTTTCTTTAAGACTCTTAATTCACCAGTAATATGAGAGAATCACTGTTTTCCCTATACTCCACACTGCTTTCCAAATAACCAGAGTTATTGTCTGTAGATAACTTTGGGCATGCTGGCAGTGAGTAATTCAGTTCAGAAGAGGTACAAAATTATTCTACCAATGAAAACAGTTATAAATCATTAATAAATCAAACAAAGCCTTGACCATTATATACTCCATTATAAACATCACTTCTAGCTCATGGTTGGGATTTTAGTTTATTATTTTTATAGTTTTCTTAGACTACTAAGTTTTTTTCAATGACTTTGAATTATTTTGCAATTATAG